GCCACCTTTTGACTCACTCGGAAGCCGCGCCGGCCACTGAGGAGTGCTGCATTATTTTGCTTCTGGTCGCCGTACGACCTGTTACGTTACGCTTGCGGTCGACTGGCCGGTGAGGCGAGCAGTCACGCACACGTACTCCTGCTCAAGCCGCCCCCAACAACTGTGAAAAGTCAACACGTATCTTTCTCTGTACTCTGTAGAGAGGCTGAGTCGACCAAAGGCCGTCAATTGCCACTCTTAGAACTGGTGAAGGCAGCCGCCGAGAATAATCCGGCTCTCTTGGCTGACTCACCCCCCGTCGCCGTCGGTATTCGCTTTGGTCCCGAGGGAGAAGGTCGACAGGCCACCTCTTTGTCCCCATGACGCCCGTTTGCGCTGCGTCTTGCCCCAGACGTGGCCACTCGTACTCCTGCCATACTATCGCGTAACACGACCACCCACGGCCGCCAAGTCACGCGTACCGCGACGGCCTGCCGTGAGAGTACCACTGGCCACCTCACTTTACTGATCGCCTGCTTACGACGACGCCGCCCCTGCGGCCCAGCTGGACCTGTGCCTTCCAAAAACAATGCCCACTCCGTCATTAGGTACGGACACGGTGTCGTTGCTGTGGACAGGCGGTCAGGACTCGGGATTCACCATTCAGGATTCTGCTCCCGTGACCATTGGGGCCGTCCGTCCTCCTCGTCTCGACTTGAATGACGACGCTGCCTGCGCCTGGCCCTTCTTCAGCCCTCGCGCATGTGGCTGCATTCCAAAGGATCCAAGACGCACGAAACGGCTGCGCCGCTTGACCGGCCAAGCTCCGTCAGCCTCGACCTCTTGGGCTCTCGTTCCGAACTGACCGACCATCCCGTCCTTTCCTGGCGACCGACCCTTTGTGATCGGCCGAGTTGATACTTTGCAATTAGCTGCTCGGCAATCAAGACGAGTGCCGCCTTGATGTTTGGCATTCTCTACATACTGCCTGGGGCTGCGTGTGGCAAAGAAGAGTAATCGAACAACCTAATCGCTGCACAACACCATCTCGAGCGGGGAAAGCCTGTTGCTTGCAAAAGCACATGGCACCACCACTGCGACGCCGTAACTCCATGTCTGCGCGCAACTCCGTAAATCTCCTGAGATTCGAGGCATGATCGCGCCTGCCGCAGAAGGCGTCTGGAATCAGACTACTGGTTAGTTGCAGGCCAAGGACGCCCAAGGTTCGCCAGCTGCCTTCTAGAACAAGATTCGGCAAGGCGGCTGAAGGCGTGACGAGGCTTGGTGAACAAGTCGCAGTACAGATGGACTGCTGCGAAGAAGGCGATGAATTTTCAAAGCCATCGCGACGAAACCAGCTGTCCTCCTTGCTCCTTGCAGATATGTGTTTTTCCCGTCATCCCCTTTTCATTGCATCGGTGCCACGACTTTTTCCCATGCCTCGAAACGTGGTGGCAGCTAAGCTTCGGCTTGATGCCTGAGCTGGCGGGCAACCACGGCATCACAGGTAGCTCAACCCCGCACTTGCCGCACTTCGACTGCATCTCCTCCGACCAGATTCGTACGCCTATACCCAAGGGAGCAAAGGAAACAATCAACCGTTTTTTTCCAAATGTCTTGTTTTTTGGCACTGCACGGCCGACTGCTGCTGCGGCCACAACACATGGTGCGCCGCAAGGACCGCCCAATCATCATGATGCAGACCACAACAAGCCTCACACGCGCCCCAACACCGCCCTGCCGTCGACCAGGAGGTATCAGTACTCCATCATCAGGACAATCGTATTCCACCAGATCGTCGCTTTTGCAAAAACAAAGCCATGCGACAACTCCCCAACCATCCCACCTCCCGTTGGGAACTTGGGATACGCATATGCACCTGATTGAGCCCGCCGCCTTCCCCCTTGCCCCCAACGCCAAATACACTCCGGCCTCCCACACGCTACCTCAAGCCCTCTCCTTTTACGCCTCGCACCCGCTCCTCTCCCACATCTCCAACCTCGTCATCGTGCAGCCCTCCATCTACGGCACCGACAACAGCTGCACGCTGGCCGCGCTCCGCGCCCTCGGCCCCGACCGCGGCCGCGCCGTCGTGGCGCTCCCGCCCGACGCGTCCCCTGAGCTGCTGTTTGCGTGGCACGGCCTCGGCGTGCGCGCCGTGCGGCTCAACTTCAAGAGCGTGGGGCGCGAGGTCGAGGGGGATGAGCTGGCGACGGAGCTGCGCGCGGCGGCCGACGCGGTGCGCGGGTTTGGCTGGGCTGTGCAGCTGTATTTGGGCCTCGAGAGCGTGCCGTTGCTCGAGGACGTCGTGTCGCAAGATCCGCCGCTCGGCGTCAAGCTCGTCGTCGACCATTTGGGGCACCCGACGCTGCCAGACAGCAGTCAGGGGGCAAGCGGCAGCAGTCAGGGGGGCGCCACAGACCCCGACCCCTACGCCCTCCCCGGCTTCGCGAGCCTCGTCCGCTTGGTTCGCGGCAGCGCGTCGCGGCGGAGCAACACGTGGGTCAAACTGTCGGCGGCGTACCGCATCGAGCGCGACCCGGCGTTGCCCTGGGTAGGCGCCATGGCCCGCGAGCTGCTGCGCGAGGCGCCCGAGCGGGTCGTCTTTGCGACTGACTGGCCGCATACGCGCTTCGATGGCTACGATGTCGTGCCGTTTGTGGAGAAGTGTCTGGAGTGGTGTGGGGGCGATGAGGCGCTTGAGCAGAGATTGTTCAGGAGGAATGCGGAGGAGCTGTTTGATGTGAGGAGATAGATGGGGAAAAGAAGGGGGTGGGTTAGGGGGTTTGTGAAGAGGCAGAGGAAAGGTGAGGAGAGGGTTGAGAAAAGATTGCGACGGGCTGTCCTTGGAACAATCAGTTGAATGATGTGTGCTGACAGACAGATAAGACAGTCGTTTTGTAGATGGAGATTCAAGGTATAGATATCATTTCCATTGCTGGTCTTATTTGCCTGCTCCTCCTTCTCTCTAGAAGTTTGGCTTGCTCCTTGAGCACTTTGCTTTCGTAAAATTCGCGGGCATTGTACAACTGCGGCAAACCTTTTCAGAACTGGAGTCGAGGCGTCTTCAACAGCATTCAGCATCGCGCAGTGACAATTACATCATCATCATCATCATCATACCTGTCCTCCTTTCAGCACCCCAAGCCCTTAAACTCGAACTGACTGACGGCTCCCTATCCCATTACTCGCTGAGTCTTAAGCTCAGATCCATACAAGACAGAGAGATTGCCCCCCACTGGACCTCAGAGCATTATCTGTGCCGGACCACGCAAGGTGCTTGTTGCTCGCACTCGTCTCGAGCAGAGAGAGAGAGCCCCAAAGACGACCAATCAATCCGTTGGTCGGCACCGGAAGCGACGACAAATTCAGCTTTTGTTGCTATTTCTCACCACCGGTCCTCGTCCACCCCGTTGCTACGACTTGTTACATACGTTCCTAGACTGACTGCAGTCTGAGGTTCTGTCCAATGGCTCAGTCCAAGTTTATGTATTCCGAGCGACGTCTGGGTGAGTACTTATATGGAGTTAGCTTTTACTGACCCACCCACACCCCCTTTTTGTACCTTTCTGGGTCGCCAAGCCAAGCCTTCCCCAGCACTCGTCGTCATCGTTGTCGTATCAACTGTTTTCCATGGCGTCCTCGGTCCGCTGTTCTAACCCGTCTTTTTCCTGGCGACGTGGGTACGTACGCTTCCTGTGATGACAAGCAGGTGACACGACGACCGAAGGCTGGATGCGCCCGTCTCCTACCTGGAGCGACTCAACTCTTCCCATCACCGCTTTCACTTTCCATTTTTAGGGGTTTAGTCATTTGCTGTGCGAAGTGTAGAGAGTACCTAGGACTCCAATGCGAGGACTGAAGCGGCCGGTGATCATGGAGGTATGACGTTCAGGCTAGTAGTAGTCTCTTGGGTTAGATGCAGACGGGGAGAATCAAAAGCTGATTGAGAAAGTCGTTGGTTTTGCACCACCGTTTGCGCTCAGAGGAAGGGTATCATTAGGTTTCTTCGGCTGGCAGTGTCTTTGAGCTTGTTGAATCCTATTCAACCAGTTTGCAGAGCTCCTCCGTCGCAAGAGTGGTGTTCGTTGAGGGATTCGGGTCATGTCTCGATTCTGATGTCGCGATATTGTGTCGTATTGCTGGCTTCGTTCAGGAAATCTACCTCCGCAAAACACGGATGCGAAGTTCTTGATGAAGCATGAATCAGGAAGCGGACTTGATTGATTGGGCAAGCGCATAAGGCGTATTTGTGAGTTGGATCAGGACAAAGAATCTCTTCCGTATACGCTAAAATCAATGGGAAGCATATAAGTCGAGACGGTCGGCAGGGCGCAAACAGGCAAACAAGTAGATACTGTCACCTCTTTGAGAACAATAGTTGACTCGGTCAAAGCGTAGTTGTATATGTGTGCAGTGAGTGTTCCGTGTCTAGGAATAGTGTTGAACAGTTGGAATCCGTCAGATGGCTTGCTCCTGTGATGGATTTTGAAGTCCATCTTCAAAGTCTCTTGTCGTGAGTTGGGAGTAAAAGTCAAAGCTGCTGTGCCTAATGCTGCTGAGCTACTTGCAAACAGAACGCTCATGGGGTAGCGAGGTAGGCCCTTGCTGCGGCGAGTGGCTCAACCATGGAACTTCGCCGCGCTTTCAATCGCCTCTTCGGTCTCCAACTCATCGACAGGTCTGCCATGATGATGCCGCACATTTCCACTCCTTTTCTTCTTCAATTGATTGATTGACCGCCCGCCCGTTCCATTTTGTTGTCAAAAAACCCAGAAACTTCGCCCGGGCAATCCAATCCCCAAAAACGCCCTCCAAACAATCACCCATGACCCAATCCTTCCCAAAAACAATCGAGGAAGGCACGCCATGCGTCCCGCACGTGGCGCACGTGTCGATCTACTCCCGCCCGCGGCGGATCCCGACAAATCGCCGACCCGCACAAAAAATTTCACCCTCCCTTCACTTGGCGATAACTCAACAACCACCAGTCCAAAGAGGACAAAAAGAAGAGGGAATTGAGCCCAACGCGGGGGTCGAACCCGCAGCCTTGAGATATCACTGCTGGGAGTGGTAAGAGTCTCACGCTCTACCGATTGAGCTAGCCGGGCGGCTGTATTGTTGTTGGAGAGGGTGCGGCTCAAAACGTATATATTCTACAAAACGCATTGGCAGTGGAAAGAGCGCTCGATTCTATTCATTTCTGTCTAATTTGTGTGCGCATTGAATTGGCAGAACTTCAAAGACAAGGAACTGATCGAAGCGGGCCGGGGGTGCGCGGAACTAAGCCGCCCGCCCGGGCTTTGTCCCTCCAGTTCCGCACGAGAGTTGCCCGACGCCGCGAGGAAAGCGCAAACGCATGTTTTGACGAGCCAGTCCATTTCAATCGTCTTTGACAGTTCGCAAATGATCTTGGTCACAGAAGGGAGCCATCTCATGGTTTTTTTGTTTAAAAAAGATTTTGCGCGAGGACTTGTTGAAGAGAATATTCTCTTTCTCTTCGCATACTCCGCACCATTGTACAAAAGCGACAAAGCGAAACATAGACTCGAGACAGACAAGTCTCGATTGCGGTAAATTTTTACGCTTAATCATGGGATTTCGCTGGATGCGTTCTAACAGCACGGAAAATAAATTGCAAAATGGCTTCTCCCTTGGTAAAAATAGACTTCTGTGTCCTTTTGAAAGGGATTCAGCAGGGAGAAGCTCCAGAACTGGGTTTGAAAACACTTGCGACAATTGCATCCATTTCCAATATGCACGCGTTCAAGAGATAATCTTTGCAGGGAATGTTTGAGTGCGCACGTGCGGTGGCCAAGAGGACGCTGTTGTCCTTTGAAATGTTGTCGGAAAGCAGCAGCGGCTTTGTTGGATTTGAAGTTGATCTAAGAACAACTCAAAGTCCTGACATTTTTCAACGAGATATCCCACCGCTCCATGTGTCAGGACAGAAATATCCAGTCAAGAAACGATAGGAAGTTCTTAGATTTAGCTTTGCTCGTATCTCTGCTCTCTTGACTCCTTCTATCAAGTTGTGAAGTAGATCTGCAGCAAAGGATTAGCAGATGCGCGCTCAGTTACACGAGAATAGTGAATGAAAAATGGCATACTATTCAAAACGGGAAGAGTCCGCTACTTGTTCCATTCACTTTGTTCGACACAAGCAATTGCATCACTCTGCATTAAACTGGAGACTACTTGACGTGCGTGTACTACAAAAGTCCCCGCATATAGATCTACATCCTCATCTGTCCCTACGAGCGGTGGGGTAACTTTTTTTGCTATTTTTGCGATTCGGCTTTGGCAGAGTGTTCTCCCGGCCAAAGGTCGCTATGTCCTAAGACCGAAAGCAAAAAGAATATCAAGTTCCTCGACTAATGTGTTCACAGACAACGCCTCAAGACAGGTTCCCAATCAATCAATGAAATTGCAAGAAATTAGAGTTGCAATTGCTTTGTTTTGCCGAGGACCAATTGGAGACCAAGGGATTCTGATACATTCACAAATACCACGAACGCCTCAATAGCTAAGAGAGCTACTACAACAAAGGATTGCATGCAGCAAAGTCTAGAACAGTGAAGACAGCGGGACTCGATGACATTGCCGCAGGGCAGCTCTCAGACCTCTATGGAATCTGCGCCTCCGCTTCTGATTCTTTCGTCAGCCACCCACAAAATTCATGCACATGTTTCGACTAATTTGGGTAGTCCTTCCGGCGCCTGATATGTTGCTCATCCAGAGCCGTGTAACTTCGTATTTGAAGAACCGACTATAGGAACATTCGTACCTTGTGCAAAGGTAGATAAGGAGGCATGCTCTTGGTTGGAGCAATGTAGGGTCGCGTGTGCCACAACTTCTCTCCAAGGCCTCGATCTTTTCACTGTCGAAAAGAGGGACGGAGCCCGCACCGATCGCATGTGGGTCGTCAAACGTCAAGACCCAAACGGGTCGGACATCACTCCAGACTCCCGAAGAAACCACAGAATGCGCATAAAGATCTGTTGAGACGTGGTACGACCAAAGCAACATGTTCACCAACACACCACGTCCAATGGTGGCGGCCACGGCTTGTTCAGAGACGGCTCCAGGCTCCGAGGTGCCGCCCACCCATCGTGGCCTTTTGATTTGAAGCCACGCAAAACCTAATGCAGGCGCAGACACATGCGGGCGACGGCAGGGCCTGATTAAAACACGCGAGCGGAAGCGCCACCGCTGCCCTGAAAACAAATCAGTGAGGCTCCCAAACCGATGGATTGCCACGCGGAAACAGCCATGAGACTGGGGTCCATCTGGCGGTCGACCAGGTAGACGGATTAGGCAAAGAAATGGCGGTGTGCAGTGGAGCCTGCCCAAAACTCATGTCTGCAGTTTGGTCCTTGAAGATGAGCAGAGTCGCGTAACCCTCTCAAGATTGTCGCGCTTGCAGAGCGACAAGTCACATCGCGGCCGGCTACGTACAGACGGTTCCTAGCTCTTGCAGAAGGCAATCAAAAGATCGAGTCCTTCAGTTTGACGGAGAATGGCGAACGGCCAACGTGGCTGCCCGGGGTCCCACGACGGTGCATCATTCGACTGGTCGTAGGGATGCAGAGAGGCTGTTGGTCTCGCTGACAACGGCCATGACGAGAAGAAGCCACGGCGAGGGCGCAGGAGGCGCTTGCCGCAGATGGACGTATCGGGAAGTGGGGACTGGTGGTACAATTTGCAGCAAATGTGCCTGTGCCTGTAACCGTCAGGAGCTGTGCGTCTCGTCTCAGACCAGAATCGTCGTGATTCAACAACGTCAGTCTGCGGACATCAGTCACACAAGACGCGTTGTTGTAGTGGTTCACGTAGTGTGCAAAAGTGCGGAGGAGCGGCGTCTCTGAGATCGAGTCGGAGAAAAGCGGCAGGCCACGACGCATTGGACAGATGGCGCGCGAGGGCGGAAGCGCAGAGGTGCCGAAAGGGGACGATGAGGTTGTACAGACGGCGGAAGCGCGCAGAATAAGAGGAGTAGGTGCACGGCCGCTCTGGACCCTGGCTGCCTCCTTGCAGCCTCAACCTCCTGCTTCCCTTGCTCCACCATCTCCATCCGCACCACACCTCTTCCTCAGTTCGGCTCGACCGTGCCGCGCTCGTTAGACCTCGTATCGCCTGCTCATCCACCGCTCGGCGCATTCATCTCGCTATCGCAAAACGCTGACAGGCTCCATCTCCAGGAAAAAGAAACCACTGTGACCCGAAAATGATTGACAGCCAGGGGCCTCATTAACAATAACCTACTTCTCAACTCGATCAGCAGCGCGGAGCCAGCTCCCGGGCGAATGAGATGCTTTTGACAGAAGTTGCCGACGTCCAACCGCCCAGAGGAAGATTTTCCGTTACCCAGTTGCAGCATGCAATCTGAAGCTGCGGCGGTACCTGTAGCTTTTCTTGCAGTGACTTGCATAGGTCATCAGGTTGCACAAGAAAACGAACCCTGAATGGCGTTTCTGAGGGCGCCGACGTTGCCTGGGGGCTATGGAGACTCCCTATCATTTTCGAGCCTGACCAATGTCGTCTTTGTGGATGTAGCCAACGCGTATCCTCGACACGGAAGGCTCCCCACCATTCAAAGCTCTGCTAGTCGCGCCCAGGACGGTGGGCTCCTCCAGGATCCAGATCTGCATATGAAACGGACGTATTTAGGGCCTTCTCCAGCCTCCCGTCCTCCAGACCTCTTCTTACTTTGAAGCTCTGCAAGTTGGTTCTGAACCCCAATTGATCTCATCTTTGTCCTAACTTTTTGAAGTCTCTTTCACATTTGTTCTTGATCGAGTTCCTTTTCATGGCAAACATGGTCGGTGGACTGCCTGATTACCTTGTCGACCCGGATGCGGTGCTCAAAGATCAGAATGTCAAGTGGAGGTATGGGCGTGCGCCAGACTACAGCAAGACTCGCAAGGTGTTTGCGGAGAGTAAGTCGATTTTCTCGTTATCCCCCAGCAGAGATCGTTCCATCTGGATTAGCAAGCACCTGTATATCAGCGTGCATGTTGTGTTGCACGAGGGTCTCTCTGAAACCTGGGGACGGGAAGACGACCGTTACGGAGATTTGTCCGATTCTTGTCGATGCATCCAAGATCCTTTTGACAGGGCACTAACCAATTGAATAGCGAAGCGAATGTCCCATTCTCCCGGTAGCCTTCACCAGCTTGTCGAAAATCTAGTCAAGAACTGGGAAGTGGAGGCGTCTTTCAAGACCGACCTTGCAGATTGGAGAACGATTGACCGCCCAAACTACACCTTTGCAATCAATGGCGGGCCCCCTCAAAGTGGAGAGCACATGCTGAACGTCGGAACTTACAATGCCATCATTGCACCCAACGAGTATTACAGCCCGGAGAACTCGGACTTTGCTTCCAGTCACAAGACTTTCAAGAGAATGATGCCTCATTTTGCCTGGGAGGTGCTTGAGGTTTACAGCGGACCGCCTCAAGTTGCCTTTCGATGGCGCCACTGGGGTGTCATGAAGAATGACTATGTTGGCTTCAACGAGTGAGTTGATTTGCGGCTTTGTCGCCCAAGTATTGACATTGAACAGCAAAGGCGAGAAGGTGACGGCCAAAGCTCACGGTGGTCCCATCGACATCCAAGGCGTTACTGTGGCCAAAGTCGACGACAAGGTCCGGCTGCAGCGAGTCGAGACTTGGTTTGATCCCATGGACATGTTCCGCCAAATCGCTCCCCAAGGTATCGTCAACAAGGAGCCTGTAGCAAAGAAGGTCAGTCCGTCTTCGACACCTCTGTCCACGCAAACGGCATCGTCTGAAGCCCTTCCCCAGGATATGCTAATGGATCTTCCCCATCGCCCAAACAATGGACGCTCGACATCAAGTAGTTCCGAGTCGAGCGAACTGCCCGACGTGGCCAAGCACTTTCGCAACATCTTTACCGGCGCGCAGGGACGGACTGGCTGCCCCTTCATCTCACGCCAAATGTCTGATCCGTCGGTCCCCACGATCGTCAAACCGGATGATGAGCAAGAACCAGGAGATGAGCAGTGGCATGATGCTGTGGACACGGGCTCTGGCGCTGCAAAACCGCAAGACGCTGCCACGACGACCAATGCCTCTGTCGAAGTCGCGCA